AGAGAGAGAGAGAGAGAGAGAGAGAGAGAGAGAGAGAGAGAGAGAGAGAGAGAGAGAGAGAGAGAGAGAGCCCCCACCCCCCCTTACTTCACTTTCTTATTGCAGATTCGGGGTCCTCTAGGGTAGCGCAGCAAAACCCCGGCTTCAAAAAAAAAAAAAAAAAAATTCCCTGCTGGGTTTTGGGGTCGCCTGCATTTCCTGGGCGGAACCCCCTGGGCCCGCCCGGCCGGGCGACGGCCCAGCCGGGCGGCGGCCCAGCGTAGATAAATGCTGTATAAAGGAGAGCACACATGGAACCAAGTGTGTGCGTGTCTGGAAAAATGGCCGTGGGCCTCCAGGTCGCTCACCAAAAATGGGTGTGCGGCCTGGGGCCCTGGAACAACCGCCGGGCCCCAAAACAGGGCCCGTGTAGCGGCCTCAGCATGTTACACTGTCTCTCTCCCCCTGATTGCTCTCTCAATACTTGACTTCTCTCTCAACTCTTGTATCACTCTGTTCCTCTCTCTTCTCTCTCTCTCGCTCCCTATCTGCTACTACTTGGATCGTAACCCTGGATACATCGGCTCTTCTTCAACTGGAGCTTCAGCTATGGCTTCTCCTTCCTCACCCTAACTGGTGTGCCGCCCAGCAGGCCCTCTGGTGCACACTCCAAGCTGTGAGGTAGCACAAGCAACCAGCAGCGCTTCCACATCTCATGCAGGGCAAAAGATGCTGTGAGCTGCACTGTAGCAGCTATTAATAGTTGCTTGATTTGACTTTGGTTTTCTTCTGACCGGTACTCAGGACAGGTGGGACCGGGACCATCTGGGACTGGGATAATTTGGGACCCTGGAACCGGGACTCGGGTGTTTGCAACGTGAAATCCTTTTCTGTCTCACCCCGTTAGTGAATTGATGCTTGGTTTCTTTTCAGCATATGTACACTAATGCCTTGAAGCACTGGTTACATCACTCTGTAGAATGAATCATTGTCCAGGTATGGACTCAGATCTAATTCACTGCAGAGTGGGTGAGTGTGAATTAAACTCAATTTTTTTACGGCTGTGGGGGGCAATATATGTGAAAGCTACTAAATGCATGCAATTGAGGGCACTTGTGTATGACTGACTTGCGATTTATCCGTATGTTGTGTGTGAAAGGAACCGTGCAGCAACTGTGAAGTCAAATGATAAGCTGTGCCTAGCTTGCTGCAGGAGGGAAGATTACCTACGGACAGTGTACCGGTGAGCAATGGTCAAACACAAACATTTGCCTGCTCCTTCTCATAACTGTTGTATAGAGTCTTAACAAAAAGAAAAAAAGAAAAAAAGCATCCCAATGTCCATCTGCCGCCCGGGGTGTCTCCTGGGTGGTGCATGCCACACTGCTGGGAAGGCTCCAGTCTATTCAAGGGGCGCATCATGTGCTGGGAACCGGGCCAGCGCCCCCTAGAACATTGGAACAACATTTAACATCACTGGACGTTTTCTTGTGAAAGGAGCTACTGCAGCATTGTTTACCCTGGGCAGGCCAGGGGATTGACTGCCAGTGCTCTCTGCATGAGAACTGAAAGCCTTCCTCTTCAGCCCTTTTTCGGGGCTACCAGAATGGGAGTCTAAAATTCTAGCAGGGCTTTGTTTTGTACTCCCTCTGAACTGCTTACCCTCTGCCATACCAGTCCAGATCCACCAAACAGTTGTCCGCCGGGGATGGGAATTCTTATGTTTTTCCAGGGGGATACATGACTAGGGAGGACTTGGCTTTTTTGTGTTTGTGATTCTTCTATTCCCAAAGAGCGGCTGCCTCATAACCTCATTCTGTTCGAGGATGGGTAGCTTTCTCCATGTGTGAAGCAGGGTGAGCCAGAGGGGAACATTTTGAAAGTCTCCCCTGACTCTGCTTCTTGGAGTATCTTTAGCTGCAACTCTGATGCCTCTTTGGTATAGCCTAGTACCTATCTTCTTCCCATGCGTAGAGTCTACTGCAAGGAACCATGCAATGAGAACACAAATAATCCAGATTGCAAAATCTCATGGAAGCCAAACATGATTCAGCTGAGTTGAAAGCAGAAAACCAAAGCGAAATGCACACCAATTAGGAGTAAACAATACACTGAAGTCTCTTGATAAAGGAAGCCCGTCATCCGCCTTCGCTCATCAAAACAACAACCCTACTTGCAGTGTGACCGCCCTATCTACGTCTCACTACCTCTACCGTGCTAGCCTCTCAAGCCGACTATCTGTCCATGTGTCACTCGGCCAATGCTGCTTGAAGACTCCGCTCATACAGGCTTCCCTCATCAACACCACGTAGGAACTGCCAGTCCCCACAGCCTTGCTTCTTCTCCGATCTCCACAGTCCACCACTCAGGCTTTCTGCGCCGAGCTATGGCTGGCGCCCACTACAGCCACCACAGCTGCTCCTCCTTCCTACTCGGGTGCTGCATCCCTCCGCTAGTGCAATAGCGCTCACGCTTGCAGCCCCACCACCGGAATGTGTAATGCTGGGTGGCCTTCAGAAGTTTGTGCTGGAGAGGAGGCCGCATCCAGGCTACATCCCGTCCCAGTAGGCAGTGCCTCAAGTTTACTGGGTCAGCGTGCAGAACCCAGCCTCTGCAAGTAACTCGTGGGCTGGGCCTACCAGTTGCAGTTGATTAGCTCCTGCCAACCTACCAGGCCCCCTCACCAGCATTCACTTAGGGCCGGCGTGAAAATTACAGGCCCACCTTCACTTAGGACGTCCTGGTCTTGTTGCCGAGGGGCTGAAACAGCCTGCAGAAGCTTGGAGACTCACGCTACTCTAGGTGTGAAAATAAGAAGTTGTTGTTGTTTCTATTTTGTTTTTTTTTTACCAAGTTCTTAAAGAGTCTTGACAGGTTGACTAAAGGTTTCTGGATGCTCAGAATTTCGAATTCCGTTATGATACCAGGCGGGTCATCCCACTGGGCAGACAAGCCTGCAGAGGCCAGACCCACCTGCCCGGGTAACTTGGGAGTCCAAAGAAGGGGGAAGAGAATTTAATGGAAGATTGCAACCTAGTCCCTCTTTTCCTCCCAAAATTGTATATGAGGCCACAAAATGCACCCTTTGGAAAACCCTGGAGTTATGTTGGGAAGTGTATGCAGCAACGAGTCCCCAGCAAGGCTGAAATTGTGAAAAAGCCCTTCAGTCACAAAAGACGATTGCCAGATGGGTGTGGCATTGTCCTGCTTCACCTCCAAGCGGCTCAGGCAAATTTATCCCTCTTTCCGAACTCCTGCTCAGCCTCCCAAGTGTGAACTTCGGCCCTTTTTTTTATCTGAGCCTGGTTTATCTCCAAAGGGCACTTTTTGTGGGCTTACAGTCCATTGCAATCAGACTCGCTTTCTTCTTCACTTCGCATACATGCAAACAAATACCAATTCACACTGGCGCCGAGCGCCCACTCAAAGCTCAGAGAAATGGAAAACGAGAACACAGTTCAGGTGCAAACTCGCTTCAACAGGCTATGGGGCATCAGCGCCTGTACATCCCAACTCTCATCGCTGTGTCCAACACCACTGTTCGCACGCACTCGACTCTAGATCACCCTGAATACCCCACACGCGCTCACTGCATCACACACGCATACACATACACTAACATCTAACGCTAGCTATGGCGGCTATGGCCGCCGGGTACTACTAATTATGGTGCGCTAACTTCTTCAAGCTCACTTCGACCTCGGGCATCTGCAGACCACCTCACAGAAGACGCTCGGGCAGCGCTTCCGCATGGGGGTACTACTAATTATGGTGCGCTAACTTCTTCAAGCCCACTTTGACCTCGGGCATCTGCAGACCACCTCACAGAAGACGCTCGGGCAGGGCTTCCGCATGGCTCACGCAGGAATGAATGAATGGCTCGACGCTGCCTCTTGATTTATACTTCTGTAAGTCGCTGGTCTGCCCTTTTCCACCGGGCCCATGGTGCATACAGTCCCTTATGGTACTTGCTGACTGTGCAAAGTGAGACTGGGACTGGGTACTGCTGACTAAGCGAAGTTAGACTCACCACTTGCCCACTTGCCTCTGGTCTGCTGTGAGTAACGTGAGACTTCCGGAAGTCTGTGGACTTGGCCTTTCGGGACTGTAGCAGCTACGACCTTGACCTTTCAAAATTGCTACAGCTACGACCTCTGCACAGCTATGACCCCTAGTCGACAGACCTACAGATCGAACCCCTTCAGCTACACAGACCTACGACAGGCAACAGTCAACTACCAGAACACAGGTCACGGGTTCAAACACACAGGGGTCGACTTGATACTGTACATGGGTGTGGTAAGGTCTAGGGATCGAGCCCTGGGATCTGCATCTGCTACTGCTAAGGTGAAAACCGTTTCACCATTATGGGAAAAGAGGGGATACTCACGCTTTCCTCTTCAGAACCTTAGGATGCTTTTCAGGCCTTTTTTCTCAAATATTAAAATCTCAATCATGCTTATGTCGGACCTGGACCCCGACATGCGTACACTGATCCGGATATCCGAACGGATTCTGGGCAAGGGGTGCATACCCCACAAAGAAAGCATTCTCATTTTTTTTCCCCCTTTTGGATTCGGCTACGAAATTCAATATGGCTCTCAGCTAATTTTTTTTATTTTTTTTTATTTTTTTTTTATTTTTTTTTTAAACAAGAACAGGGCCTTATGGTCCTGGCTCCTTCTATTCTGGGGAGCGTCAGTCCGGTTCCTATTCCACCGGCAAGTCAACAAAATATTACATCATGAACCCACTCACGCTTCCTTTCGGCCGGCCGAAGGAACCCTGAACAGCATTGATTACTCCACCTGCGTGGAGGATTGACTGTCAGCTTGCCTTTCCTTCTTCTTTCCTCTCAGGTCTACTGCTTAAGCCTGTCGTATAAACAATAAGAACAAGAAAGAATAGGACGCCATGGAAGCTACAGTCTCTGAATCCAGACTCCACTCATTATGTGGCCTGTGATAGAGCTGGTCCTTCTGCTGACTGAGAACTCTGCCTCCTCCTCCCTGTTTCTGAATTGTGCCAGTCCTTCCACCTTATGTGAAAGTCGATTATCTCCGCCACTTTGCCCCTTGCAAGCCACACCTTAATAAAATATGCCTTGATTTTTTCCTGTTGCTCTACGTCGTCCGACATAGATTGTCTTGTCTTATGCCATTTGCAAAGAATCTCAGCCTGGATCATGGTCTTTGTCTCCGCCCATACCTTCTTCCTTGGAGTCGAGAGTCCCTCAATAGTTCTGCAGCACCTTTCCTTCCAGATGGACCACAGCGTCATCTTTCGGATCATTCCAAACCATATTTTCTCTGACTTAGGAAATTTGGCAGGGATGTTAGTCCATAGAAGGAGTTGGACAGGATGTTCGGGGAGGGGAATCGGGAAGAGGGAGTCCCATAGATCCGAGGCTCTCGCCCAGTATTCGGTCGCCTCTTTACAGCATATCAGACAATGTAATATATCTTCAGGCTCGTTTTGTGAACAGACCGTGCATGGATCTGCGCCCGAAAAAGTGGAGATCAACAAAAAATCAGAAGAAAAAAGGACCAGACTCAGTCTCGAACTCAGACCCAGTAGAGGCTGAGGAAGAATCCACACGATCAATGTTGGAAAAAGAAACAGCGGTGGTTTTGGCTCAAACTGAGAAGCTGAAAAAACTGAACGCAGAATATGGACCAGAATTTACATCCATTCAGCACATTGCAGATGGTAAGGCACCTCACGTGGTAGCCTCGGCCAAATCAGCAAGGCTCACCCTAATGGGTACRCGTCCAYTGATTGCAGCAAGGTATCTGGAGAAGGAAGGAGAATGGCAGGTGGCTACGGATGTGTCCTTCACAATTCCCAGGTTGGATGAAGGACAAAACGTAGCCAAAATCCTTCATGAAAAGGTAACWAAGGAATTCCCATTGGGACTGTACGGAACAGTCGACACCTATGACTGCTTGGAGACCAGCTCCGTGCAAAGTGCACATGGGAAACAGCAGGACCAACAGAGGGAAGGGGAATGGCATAGCTCCGGCGCCTTTTCTCCCATAATCTCCAAGATGCCAACCCAACTGAACAGTGGAATGATGTGGAGACCATGGAGAACTGTCACAGCTATTTCGTACAGTGTCCTTGCGGGCCCGGGGATCCCAGCAGAACTGCTGGCAGCCTCGGTAGCACAGCTGCTGAGCTCCGGCATCTTGAATGGAGACAGTGATCTGGAAGCCAAAGCATTCACCATGGATCTAGACAGGTTCTACAGAAGCGACTACTCAGAGGATGACATGGAAGAATGGCAGGAAGATGGAGTCACCTCAAAGTCGGCCTTCTCAATGGACCTAGGAACCAGCGGAAGCATTGGAGAATACCAAATAGATGACGCCACCACAAAGACACAGCAGGATCCGCCGGATGAGCCCACATCAGCTATGGAGGACCTCGACCAGGACCCCTCCTGAAAACTTAATACCCTAATACTAGTATCGCCACGGCCCGACCGCCACAATGTTGGAAATCTTTAGAAAGAGGGCAAACGCCAATGATGTGCGAGTGGACTGGAAGACACAAGGGATAATAATCAGAAGTTGGAATGTCAACGGGTTGGGTAACATAAAGGAAAATGAAGCAAAACTAAACAACATCATCAAAGGACTGACAGTACACACAAACAAGTTGGCAGATATAATCTTACTACAGGAGACTCACCTCACTACAACTGCAGAACACAACAAAATCCGAAAAGCTTTAACAAAGAAGATGGGAGGAATCACAAGTGAAGTATGGTCATCGGATAATGTAGCAAGCACAAAGGGAACGACAATCCTCATACCTAAATCGTCCCGCTTCCTCACAGCAGGAACAATCGTGGGAATGGAGGCAGATACAGCAGAGGGAAGATGGTGCCTTATGGATCTGAAATGGAAGGAAGAGGAATTTAGACTAATCAACGTGTACGCACCGAACAACTCTTATGAAAGGACAACRTTCATAACGAACATTGGTCAACTGATCACCCCCTTGACACCATGCATCCTAGTAGGAGACTGGAACGCAACATTGGACCCATCCACCGACCGCATCTCCAGAGCAAYGACCAACYWGTCGGCACAAGAGKCGCTACCCATTCAGAAGTTGATCCTYGAGCACAATCTAGTCGAACCGTATCGCACTCTGCATSCGGGGGAAAAATCATTCACGTTGGTCAAGAAAAACCATGCTCAACATACGGCCTTCTCTTTCATCGACTACTTTCTACTCTCAGACACGCTAATGGGAACGGTCAAGAACGCAGAAATCCTCCCGTTACAACCATACCCGGRTCTGGATCACAAACCCATCGAGCTCATCATCAGTTTTGAACAGTACGTTAAGAAAGGGTCCAGCTTCCATAAATTGAATAACTCGCTCCTACTAAGTCAACTCTTTCAAGAAGGAGTCCATGAATGTTGGCACAATATGAGAGGCAACTATCTACCTATTCATGACAGATGGGAGTGGTTCCAAGAAAGTTATTCCACGCTCTCACAAACGATAGCAAGAATCTCGAGGAAAATGGCGGCTGATAGAAAGCGAAGGAAACAAGCATTAGAAACAGCACTTAAGATCGCGGAACTAAACCTTGTTGACAACCCGTCATCCCCAATCTACACAGACATCTTTCAGAAAGGAAGAGAAGAGCTAGCAATGTGGCGATGGTGGGAACTGAAGGGCTTGCAGATAAGGGCCAGAATGAACGAATATGACTTAAGTGAATCAATGTCCAAACACTTCTTTGCAAGAATCAAAGCTAATGCAAGATCTAGTTCCATAGAAGGCCTGAGAACCCTCGCTGACCCGTCAGAAACATTAACGGATAGCGAAGGGATACTCAACGTAGCTAAGGGCTTCTATGAGGAGCTTTACCAGACGAAGACCCCCACGCCTACACCTCCCAGCACCAGAGAAGCACGCACYAGAATGCTTCAATACTTAGATCGAACAATCTCACAGGAACARTCAVAAGCTCTCGATAAGCCCTTATCACTGGAAGAACTTCAATTCGCAGTCCAAAACATGAATAGCAACAAGACRCCAGGCATTGAYGGGCTGACGAAAKAATYYTGGGTAAAATTCTGGCCACTCCTAGRGAAGGACTTGCTGAACTTTTACCAGGATAGTTGGCAAAAAGGAGGACTGGGGAATCGGTTGAGTAGTAGTGTGGTTACCCTGCTCTACAAGAAAGGCGAAAAAGAAGATATAAGAAATTACAGACCTATTTCTTTATTGACTCTCCCCTATAAAATATTGGCCAAAGCCCTGGCTTTCAGGATTCTCGATCTGACTGACAAGTGCTTCCACATAGACCAGACGGGCTTCATCCCGGGAAGATACATCCTAGATAATGTTCTCACCCTCAATGAAGCAGCCAATAAAGTCAGGGAAAAAAGGATCAATACGGCAATACTTTTTTTCGACTTTGAGAAAGCCTACGACCAGGTCAATTGGGCCTTTCTCAATGCAAGTATGAAAAAGATGGGAGTAGGGCCGAACTTCAGAAAATGGGTACGAATCTTATACAACGATGCTATTGGCTGTGTGCAAGTCAATGGCCTGCTCTCAGAATGCTACCCAATTTCGCGATCAGTTCGTCAGGGCGATCCACTAGCACCTCCAATTTTCCTGTTCGTCATGGAAGCAATAGCGTCTTCCCTGCGCAAGGATCCGTCCATACACASACTACCGGAGATCAACACAGGGTCAACCCACCACATACATTTCCCGACAGTCATAATGTTCGCTGATGATCTCACTGTCCTTATACGGGCTTCAGGATCATCCCTCAGTGCCCTAGTAAGAGCTATGGAAGCATTCAGACTAGCTTCAGAAATGAAAATTAACTGGAAGAAAACGATTGGATGGTGGTTATCTGAAGAAGAGGCCCCTCTTCTCCAAGGCCCAGAGGCAGCAATGACATGGGATACACCCGACACGCCTACCCGGTACCTAGGCATCCTCTTGACGAAAGAAGGATGCGCGCCTCAAATGGCCCAAAATATGCTTGCCAAACAGATCAATAAGATGGGCAGATGGGGCAATACATTCACCTCCCTGCTGGGCCGCGCCTTGGCCATCAACACTTCTATCTTCTCAATGATGTGGTATATAACATCTATATGGACAATCCCTGATCACTCGATAAAGGACCTGAACCGCAAAGCTAGAGCATACCTGTGGTCAGGAGATCCCAACAAGGAAAATTATATACCAAAAGTAGCATGGCACTACATTACAAGGAAACMCGCTGAAGGTGGTCTCGGTATTATAGATCCCAAAYAAGAAACAAAAGCTCTACAAATAAAATGGATTGTCAAACTCCTCACCAAATMGGGAACAGCATGGAACAATCTGGCGTTAGACAGCATTAGAGGGCTGGCTCCGATACCGACACCAGCAAACATGTCGGGCCTGTTCTGGGTAATGAACAAGGAATGGACCCCAAAAACAGGCCGCAGAAACCAACAAAAAAATGGAACCCCCACTGGAACCAGCACCCCCACACCTTACTGGTCTGCACTTCTAAGGATATGGTGGGAAATCATGCCGAAGAAAGTCRGGAAACCAAAGACCAGAGAAGAAGTACTGAGGCAACCTCTATTTGGCAACCCGTGGGTGAGAGACGAAAGCGATCACCCRCYCTCGCTTARACCCAATGGCACACGCTGGTTATCATGGATAAAACACGGGATCTGGAAAGTCTCGCATATATGGGACRAAGATAAGAAGGGGTGGCTCACTGATCAGGAACTCGCCACCCTTCTCAAGGGATGCCACCGGCGTCAGGAGAACCTGCAAACAATTATCAGTTGCATCCCGGAGGGATGGAAAGAAAGATTAACAGAGGCACCAACCTGGAAAACGGGGGAATGGGGAGTCAAGGTACAAGAACAGTCCCCTTTGAAGGCCTACCAATTCTCCCATAAACAGCAGGGCTCGCGAACCCTGGCTGTCTTCACAGGCTTTCCAGCCACTTGGTCAGCGCACAACTCGGTGTCCATCCTGAACAAGGATGTAGAAGGAGCGGTTCTCGATATGTTCCTGCTCAGAAAAGTAAGAGTCACTGGGTCATGGCCCAAAACAATTTTCAGGTCAGACACAGCAATCCAGGACCTGGAATTCGACCCGGCGGAATGGGCCTGGACGCCAGGAAGGAACAAAATTGTCAAGACGAATACCCACATACAAGACTATTCAGTCAAATTGGGCTATAGGCTTTTCCTTAGAACCAAGGACCCGAACCCCACAATCAGGAACAGATGGTCCAAACTGATGGGCCAGGATGCCAGCCACATCCCACAAATCCCATGGAAAAAACTTAGTTCAATCAGACCAGTAAAAATCAGGAGCCTCCAATGGCTAATTGCATACGTGGCCTTACCGGTTAATCAATGGTTGCACATCCGGAGACACAAGAACGACCCCAACAGCTCAGATGTATGTTCAGTATGCACGGATAATGAACCAGAAGACATGCTCCMCTGTTTAATACGCTGCAGAGAAGCAACAGAATGCTGGGCAAGGGCATCGGCCCTTTGGGACTCCCTATTTTYGTCTCCCCTYCCCRAAYATCCCCTCCAACTTCTCCTTTGGACTAACATCCCCACCCAGTTGAACAAGACGGAGAGGATCTGGTTCGGGATGTTCAGGAAGGCGACACTATGGACCATCTGGAAGGAAAGATGTGGCAGAATCATTGACGGTACGTCAAATTCGAGGGAAAAAGTCTGGGTGGAAACTAAGGATTTGATTCAAGCAGAGATTTTATGTAAGTGGCACAAGGCAAAACTCTCCTTACCAGAAGACGACGAGCAACGGCGGGCAGCAAATTTAAAGTTCACTAAGACTTGGTTGGTCGAAGGAAAAGTTGCTGAGATCAAGAACTCCTATCTACGATGGAAGGACTGGCACAACTCGTGAGGGKACAGGAGAGGACCAAGATACTTGACGACAGAAAAAGAGGAATAGGGAGGGAAGAGATATACGGGTAAGGTTTGAAGCTAGAAAAGTGGCACAACTCAGTCAAATCTGTAGGCCGGACATTTACTYGGGTACACGGGGATCCGTCTCCAATCTGGGCCTAGAGGTACTTCCAAGACACACTTATGACAGACGACAGCAGTTTTCTCACAGGKAACAGATGGAGAAATAGATTAAGGCGGCCCAAATTTCTRAGGGCAGGGTACAAGCAGAAACAGGATRAACATGGAACAGAAGGAGAGAGATTAAAAGAKAGRTYCAGGGTGCAAAGGTTCAAAGGATATAAATAGGGTTTGGGTTTCAAAAAATAGAGTAATTGTGTTTAAGGCTTAGGGTTTAGGGTTTAGGTTTTAGGGTTCAGGCTGGAAGATGTAGACAGAAACAAGACGACCAGGGGTGAGAATGTTAGAG